CTCACACACTTCACCCTTAACACACACCACTGCTCCTATACCCTATATCCCAGCAGACCCCAGGTAAATTGTCAAACTGTTCTTAAACGGTATGACTACTTACTCTGGGGTGGAATCCTGGCACTACTGACACCATAACTACTACACTGAGCTGTAGTGGTTATTGTGCCTGGATTATTTATTTAAATAATCTACAAGTGCCCCTCCCGAGATCAGGCTCTGGATCCGCCACTGCCCAGTATACCCCCTCCTTCACACTACCTCCCCCCTCTTTCGCAATATCCCCCCTCCATGACCCCCTCCCTCCCAGTATCTCCCCTCACTACCCCCTCCCAGTATACCCCCTCACTCACACCAACACCCACCACTCTTCCAGTATCCTCCCTCCCTCCCAATATTCCCCAGTCTTTCCCAGTACTTCCCAGTCCCTACATGTGGGGTGTTATTCAGAGATTTATGACAGATAATAGTGTTACAATGTCACTATTGATAAATTTTTAAAATGTATGTTTTGAAACCGCAATATCCTACTGGTACCTATAGCCCTATAACTTGCAAAAAAAGCACGTAAACACTGGGTATTTTTAAACTCAGGACACAATTTTGAATCTACTTAGCAGTTTTTTTATTCGCTTTTGTAGATGAGTAAAAGATTTTTCAAGTAAAAGTAAAAAAACTTATTTTTTTCAATTTTTCATCATTTTTTTTATTTTTTTTAAATTAAATTACATGAGATTATATAAATAATGGCATGTAAAGAAAGTCCCTTTTGTCCTGGAAAAAACAATATATAATTTGCATGGGAACAGTAAATGAGAGAGGGGAAAATTAGAGCTAAACACAAACACCACAAAAGTGTAAAAAGAGGCCTGGTCGCAAATGTACAACATCGCAAAAACAGTCCAGTCCTTAAGGGGTTAAGCAGCAAATCCCAGTACCTTCTTGTCCTTGCGTGGTTTCCTGTTCCCCAAAAGTCTCCTTGTTCCTGTGTGTTCCTCTGTGTTCCTGTGTGTTCTTGGTTCCTGACTCTGGCCTTTTTCCTGACTTCGCTGCTCTCCGCTGCTCTGGCTCGTCTGACTACCCGCTTTGGTGCCTGACCCCTGCTTGCCTCCTGGACTTTGCTTTTGGTTTTTACTTTATTTTCTATTTATTAATAAAGGTGTTTTTGCATCTAGTTCTGTCTCTGTCTGGTTCCTGGCCCCTAACACTATCCTAATGTCACATATACATATGTATGTGTTTATAAATCAGTATGTGTAAATAAGATACATCATTCTTGCTCTAAATTACATTTTAGTTGCATCAACTGTTATTTGTTAGTCACCCCAAATTTCAGCCTCGCCCCTGGCCACACACCCCCTGGCACCCATAAAATTGAAAGTGTCTTTTATTCCATTCGAAATGTTGGGAGGTTTGGGTATTTAATGATGCTATAATGTTGCAAATTCTGTTTGAAAAATGAGAGGTGGGTACTAGTACTCTATGGGATAAGAGGATGAAGGTGGAAGAAGATGATGAATGCTGAAAGCATTTTTCCTGGTAAGGAGCAGAATGTAGAATGTAGAAAGGCTGGTAGAAGGCAGTTTATTTTGTCAAAGAATGTAAATAGTGCATTACAATGTTATTAATCAATGGCAGACTAAACATGAATTAATACCAGTATGAAAAGCAGTAGCCTCAACAGAAATCAAAATAATTAGATTAAATGATCATTTTGATCAGACCAAAAAAAAAAAAGAATTCTAATATTGACAGTGACAGTTGTTGCTACTTTAACTGACACATATAACTATAACAACTGACACATACTACTTAGTGACCTCAGAAATGTCATCACAAATTAGATCAACATTATTATTGAAGCATCGTGGTTTTCTCATAATCGTAATGAACATCATAATGTAAGTCATAATGTATATGTCTCTTTATACTTTATGAGTCTGTACTTGTTCAAGAAATCAGGTCTTGTGTGACAATGTGCTGTAGGCATAGCAAACATGAATTCATATGCTAGTGTTGTCTAGTCTGATTAGATTTGTACATGCCATGTCGTGTATACATATATATACACATTAAAGTCTATGCAGTTGCAAGGTGTAATTTTCAAATCATTTTATTTAGTCAACTGACACTTATAACAAGAATCACATTTAGGACTGCAATTGTTAAAATATAGCCATGAAGTATTAATGACATGTGTTCCCAAATCAACAGCCGATTTGACAAAAATATTGTAACATTGGCTGAAATTCATAGATAATGCCTTCTGGACTCAATCAGTCAGTTTAATTCCAACTGCAAAGCCACAGGGTAAACAAAACAGAAAAGAAAGGAGGCATATGTGTCCGTGATGAATTATCAAGTTAAGAATACAATGAAGAATGGTGATGGAATTATATTGCTTTGGTTGAACAAAGGCCCTGCAGTCCATATCAGATAGGTACAAGTTTGGCGCTTCTAATAGAATACAAAGTGTATTAAGGGTGTAAATAGGTGTATCCCCAACACCTTAGTAATATAAATAAAAAAACAACAATGTGCCAAAATAAATTCCATGTGCTCGTCACAAAACCCTCCACTATTAACTAAACAATGTTGGACTGCTTCACATCCTAAACTAATGGGATATAATAGTGTAGAGGCTTGAGACATCACATGTAACCAAATGGTAATTGTCATGCCATTCTAGTGTACTTCAGATATTGAGTTGTGTGAGGTTGAAGCATACTATCAATATATTTGCAGCGTCTACTTAGGAGTGATCCAACTCCTGACACTTTAGATCTCCCTGGATGGTTCTTAAAGTCTTTATGGATTTTAGACAAGATGTACAATACTGGATTACGGTATGTCGGGATGTTTAAATAATTATATTCCTGTTGATTAAGAACTCTTGTAAGTTTACCTTGATCACCTTACCTTATCAATTTAGTCAGTTTGTTTCTAATATTGG